CGGGCTTGCCCCTGCGCACCCTGCGTCCTCCACACATGCTCCTGGGCTCGGCTGCTGTCTCTCAAGAGCCTCACCTCAATGGGCTCAGTCACCCGGACAATCAGCAGCTTTCAGCCTCACGTCCTCTCCTCCCCCCATAAAAGGGCCACTTCAAAAAAGCTTCTTTTGAAATGAGGATCGAAGTAGATAGAGAGGGACAGGAGTCCAGTCACACTTGTCCCAGTGACAGACAAGTCTTTCAGCTTTGTCTGCTGTGGGCTGCAAGCCGAAGGGCCATGGCTGTGAGCCTCACCAACCCCTGACCACTCAAGAGAGCTCAGGGGCAGAGAGAAGGCCTGCTGGTTTCTAAGGGCCACCTGTAGGTGACAGGTGACGGCTGGTCTTTGCTGCTGTGCACACACAAAGCCAAGGGGGACTTTCAGATCCTTGGTGGTCAGGAGAAGTTTGGTGAAATCACACAAGAGAAATGTCTGGTGTCCGTGCCATTTTTTACAAAGGGTTTTCAGGTATTTTTTAGCAAACTGCATATTTAAGGAATGATAACAGTTTTGTCAACTAGATAAACACCAGAGTCCAAAAAGGAACAAAACCAGGAAAAATTTAATGAGTAAAATCATCGTCCAATTAGAATTGCTGAGATTTTTAAATTAAATACCAGTTTTCAAAAATTTATATCAAGAATCTTACATGCTGCCAAAGTTAGCTCATCTCTTCAATCAAAGTGAACTAGTAGTATGTGGAGGCCAAGTAAATGACAAACGTTACAGGACAAATGACAAGTGGTATCCAACTATTGGATCCCAGGGGTCATTTCAGTATTAGGGTTTGGGCATAGGCTGGGCAGATAAAATGCATCTCATTCAATGTGTGTCTGAACCAGGGTTTGGCTCAGTCTTAGACCCAGGGTTTTCAAATTGGGTACATATCAAAATCACCTGGAAAATCTTTAAAAACATACCGATGCCTAGTATGTTTAACCCCAGATAGTGGGCAATGGAATTTTTTAAAGTTCCCAGGCAACTTTAAAAATGACTACATTTAACTGTAAATGTAAAAATGACTACATTAACTTTAAATGACTACATTTAACTGTGTAGTCATTCTTGAGAAAACACTGGTCTATCTTTTCCAAGGACTTGGGATAAAGCTGATTCTGGTACCTGCACCACATCCTGACTCAGGATTCAGACATAAGTTAACTTAAAGATTTCAAATCACCAATGTCTTAGAATTTTCCCTTTGGGGATAACACAATAAGAAATAATGCATATGCCTCCCATCTTCCACACAACACACACACACACACACACACACACACACACACTGAAAACTTTAAGTTTCCTCACCAGTTGGACACTTGAGCCATTCTTCACCATGTCCCTGCTGGTGGTTAGCTTGTACAGCGCACTATCATCAAAGATCTGTCTAACCGCCGCATATTTTAAAAACATATTTCTGATCCACTCTTTACTTGGCAATGCCACAAACCGCAGTGTTCCAGGGATTGAGCTGTTGTGAATGAAGTTATCTCTTTCTAAATGAAATGGCAGTTTAAATTCATATGGCATAGAATTTATTCCATTAATCCAAAGCCACAATTTATTTTCTAGAGCAAAAGGAAGCCAATTCTTTCACTTGTGCTCTGCATTTCTGCACAGAACTTTCGCTCCAGGCAACTAGACAGTTACACTTCCAAGTACTGAAATCGCCCACAATGTAGGCAGCACAGCCTGGTGTTTAACATAAGACATCACTTTTAGCTTCAAATAGGACCCACTTAGGGAGGAGCTGTCCGAGTTCCCTGAAGGACTGGCTCTTTGCTGGCTATAATCAGGGCTAGAATAAGGAGATAACCAAGTCCAGCTCCCTGCCACAGGAAGATCAGTCCTTTTTCATGTGCCAGGAATCACTATCAATTCTTAATGGACAATTAGCGGAAAGGATTTCCAGATTTCCTGACAGCCAGCACTAGCGTTAGAAACTCTTATAATCAGGAATTCCGCTTTAAGTCTGATTTAATGCACTCATGCTGGTCATTAATTAATATCATGGGGGATCCCACTGTGGTTTGTCTTGTTTTCATTTCAAACATATGAAGGTCAGGCTCAGTATATACATTATTAATTCTGTGATCTGAGTATTGCCATTAATACTGTGCTCTGTTAAAACAGCTTTATTTTCTCTCTTGGGATTTTAAAATTGAAAGAATAGTAAAGAAGTGATATGCATAGTGATTTATGAAAATTCCTATTTGCATTACTTATGCAAGATGATTATTAACAAACAGAATATTGCCAGGAGCACAATAACTATTTATATATCAAGAAAGCCTGAAGCGTTACTGTGAAATAGCTGTGAAACTATCTTCTCTTCAGAAGTCTCTGAAGGACATACCACGAAAATCAGTGGTAGGATCACCTCATGAATGTGCTGGCACCTGCTCCAACATAGCTGTGGTTGCCTCTTCTCATGCTTCCAACCTGTGACTTGTGACAGGAGTTCCAAGGAGACTAAGATAAAGGCCAGTGGTCGTATCACCTCCTTGAGGTGATAAGGATGTGATCTCATCACTCACTATCCAGTATACACTCAACTATCCATGTGATAGATTGGTATCTTATTGATGTCACAAGTGTCAAAGATGAATAGAATTTAAAATATTGCCCTTTAAAACATGGCATATTATGTAAGAACTCATTCTACAAAGGATAATGGATTTTGAAGTTTATTTCAAGCCCTGGAGCTCTCCTAGGAGAGGAGGGCCATGCTGAAGAATTCCCTGAGGCCTGCCAGTCATGCTTAAGGCAGAACCATCGCACTGCTACAGCCTGATGTGTGCAGTTTTATCACGTCTCAATATCAGAGAAGATAAACTTTCATTCAATATCCCAGTGAATGGGCATAAATTTAAAAAGAGAGATTCTGAAGAAACTCTATAAAAGGAAGACAGTTAAAGTAGAAATAAGAACACCAGTTTGTTGTTGTTTCTTACAACAAAAATTTCAAGTATTCTTAGCTCATTTCTTTTATTTACACTTTATCATACGTATCTTTTGTTTCTTTTTTAAAAATATTTTTATTGATTTCAGAGAGGAATGGAGAGGGAGAGAGAAATAGAAACACCAATGATGAGAGAGAATCACTGATTGGCTGTCTCCTGCACAACCCCCACTGGATGGACCCGACAACCCAGGAATATACCCTTGACTGGAATCGAATCTGGGACCCTTCGGTCCACAGGCTGATATTCTATCCACTGAGCCAAACCAGTTAGGGCTCATATGTATCCTTTCAACACCAACATTTTTACTAAAATAACATTAGAAAACTATACATTAACCTTGTAAATATTTGAAAACATTATATTTTAGAGCAAATTGACAATGTGCATGTATATGGTGGATGCCCTTCAACTCAGTAATGCTCCTTTTATGAATTCTAAGAAAGTCATCCATAAGAATGACAAGTAACCATGATAAAAAAGAAAAGACTAGAGTCATCCCAAATGTCTCATAAAAAGGAAATGAACTTACTGAGAAAAATTTCCAAATCTGGTAACATATTCATGATATATTGTTAGGTGAAGAAAGAAGGCTAAAAAGATGTTTGTTTATATGGTTTGATTTAAATTTTATTTTAAAGCTTTTTAGTATAAAAACTATCAGAAAGCATCTTCTTTTGTGAATTTCTACATTTATTAATATGGACCTGTATTAGCTTTGTACTCAGGAAAAATTCATTCAATGTTAATATAAAAAACTGGAAGGAAGTATATCATGATGTTACTAGTGGTGTTCTTTAATTAATGGAATGATAGGCAATGGTTTTTTTTACATGCTCTCCCCAATTTTCTCTTTTCTGGAGAGCCTGCTCAACTTGCACAGTAGCAAAAAGACACTGCTGTTGAGTGGTGCACTTGAAGCTGCATCTTCGTTCTTTCCTCATTAGGGACACTGGCAGTGACTGCTCAGAACACATTTCAGAATGTATTGATTGAACTCTCATGTGCAAAATGCTAATGCATCATTTTAAGAAACTTTTGATTATTTGCAGTGAATTTTACAGAAATAAAATTATTGGGAGACAATTGAACCTACTGGGCAAAACAGATTTTCCAAATGATCTGTGTCTTGGTGCCAAAGTCCTTTTCCTTAAGGGACTGGAAGTACAAAAGATAACTACTTCTTCTCAAATGATATACAGCTCTTCCCCAATCACATACAGTTAATTGTTTCATTCTAAAATAGTCATGAGTTGTTCTATTGTCTCAATTTTAGAATGCCACAATTTGCTTTATAGTTTAATACTGCTAATACTATACTGCATTACTCTCTTCTGAAACAAATTTGGTAATTTTATTTACATACCTATTAGATTGCTTAACTCAAATTGGAGAAGTGGGAAAGAAGGCAAAAGCTGTGCTAATATATTACAAAGATGGCTTGTTATAGATAAAAATATTTGACTTACCTGTAAAAACATTATACAAGGAAGTCACAGTATAAGTAGCATCTTTTATGACACAGGCTCAAACACAGATGTGATAAGAATGACTTGCAGTTGCCAAAATAACCGAAAGACCTCTTTGTTTGTATTAGCAAATGCTGATATACAAATCTACAATTGCAAGTATTATGCCTATTAAGTAACATTTCAACAAATACTTTATAAAACCAAGAATGATTTTTAAATGTGTAAATACACAGGGAAAGCATGTCCAAGTACCAATCTGTTTGCACCGCTTAATAGTCACCAAACATCATTAAAGCGGGAGAAGGGGCAGGCAGGTGAGGACAACTGTAATAGTGTCAACAATAAAAATAAAGTTAGGAAAATTGTCATTGTGCCGGTTCAGTTGTCATAGTTATTGTTCCTTTATGGTGTTTCCTTATTTTCTCCTTAAACATTCTTTTATTATAAAGAAATACCTGTAGCAAGGATAACACTAAAATAGAATTAACATAGCCAGAGCAAAGATAAATAAAAGTTAAAAAGCCAACCTTTATTCCACTTTGAACAAGTTTGTGAATGTCCAAATAAGGCTCCTTGAAAATGTCTCCTTCGGGGGTGAGTATCTTCACATAACCTTCCTTTTCCAGGATGAAGAGCCGGTGGGAGCCGTCCCCACTGTGGAGGGCGCTGACCGGCTGCCGCAGCCCACTCACAACCTCCTGAATGCAGAAGCAGTTGTGCTTGTGCTTTCTAGACAAATGAAAGAAGCCGGTAAGCGGCGCTTAAGGTGAAGGGTGGAAGGGATGCACTTAGCATCCTTTCAAAATACATTTCCTCTAGGAAGCAATGGTTTGGATGATCCTGAAGGGCTGCTCACCCAATCGTATTCTTTGAAATTCTTTTCAATTGGGGAGAAATAAAACCGAACAGCCCCTTATCAGAAAGTAAAAGAGAATTTCAAAACGTGTATTGGAAATATTGAGGGTAACGCTTCGTCAAATATGTGATTGTCTAACCACTATGCTGTATACCTGAAACTAATACAAAATAATATTGAGTGTAAACTGTTAATTGAACAAATTTAAAAAAATTTTTTTTAAAAGAACTACCACTCACACACCGCCTAGCTTCAAAAACTACATATATTTTAAAACTTCATAAGCTCATTATCCCATCTTTCAGTGACTATAATTAAAATGAGCTTTACTCACAATAATTAAACATTATAGAAGGGTGCTCGAGAGAAAGTTCTAAGATCTATTTATAAAACTCTGATTGGCTAATAATAATGTGCATCATAACCTAACAGCAAGCATACATTTCAAGTTAAAACTATACTCATAAAATTCACATGAATCATAGAGAAGCCAAGCTCATAACAAGATCAGTAATCTAAGTATTAAAAGCACTTGTACTAATATGACGTTAGAGAGCAAACTACTAAAAAGAAAAATAAAGCATGTCGAGGGTTATAGCTGCTAGACATAAGCAAAGAAAGATGAGTCACTTTCAAAGCCACAAGATTTGTTAGTTTTTTTTAAAAAAGAAGGCTGAAGAGCATTATCGTTATGAACCTGCTGATCTCCTCCACTTTGTCATATTCTTCCATCTGGTCCAAGGAGTTGGACGCTGGGCCTCTGACTTGTTTTCTTGGAAAATCTGGAAAGCACAACCCACCATCTCTTCTTGCATAGTAAAAGCAAAACTCCTCAGCTGTAGTTTGAAGGAAACCTTTAAAAAATGTAAAAAGGCTCATCAGAAACAGTACCATGCAAAAACATCCTGTTGGAAAGATAAAAACACGAGGAAAGAATTTTTTAGGAACCATACAAATAGTCTAGGAAAGTATATAGACAAAAAAGAAAGAAAAACTTTTTTTGCTTGGGATTTTCATTTTTTAACCAAGACTTGAGACATTCAGTAAAAGTGAAATTATGTCACGTTGGATAGTTTAAAAGGCTCATATGAAATACACATTATACATTTCTTGTTATTGCATTGATTTATTTTCAAGCTTCCCCGGTGGCCACATGTTGCACTGGTGAACTTATCCAATCACTGTTCAGCATTTTTTGCCCTAGAGTAATTCCTAAGAAGAGTAAATTAGAATCAAGAAAGAGAAAGACTATCAGGTGCCAGTTTGGGCCATTTTACAATTCTTACTATATTGTCACTCACATATGATTAAAAAATAAATCTAGTAGCTATCACAAGGTCATTATACACTATAATGAATGACTGACTCATTGTGCAGTGATTGAGCAATGAATTGATGTTGTAACAGAGCCACCATTTTCAAATATGCAGGTGCTGTTTCCTACACTTCACTCACAGGAGAAAATGATTATTTTTGCAAAACAAAAATTATATTTAAAATATCCTTTCAATTTTCTCAGGCACAATAGCTGACATACCACCCTTCGCTGAAAAATAATTATAACAAGCCAAAACAAAAAATGCAATATAGGCATATGAAAGACAAATAATTTTGCTTACATAGTAACAATTTTTATGAAATAAACAGCTATCTATAATAATAAAAGCATAGCCGAAACCGGTGTGGCTCAGTGGATAGAGCGTCGGCCTGCGGACTGAAGGGTCCCGGGTACGATTCCGGTCAGGGGCATGTGCCTGGGTTGCGGGCACATCCTCAGTGGGAGGTGTGCGGGAGTCAGCTGATTGATGGTTCTTTCTCATCGATGTTTCTAACTCTCTATCTCTCTCCCTTCCTCTCTGTAAAAAATCAATAAAAAACATATTTTAAAAAAATAATAAAAGCATAATATGCTAATTAGACCAGACAGCCGAACGACCTTCTGGATGTCATTCTAGATGTCCTTCTGGATGAAGCCATGGTGGTGGGGGACTGAGACAGAGGTGGTTAGGGGCAATCAGGCAGGCAGGCAAACAGTTAGGGGCATCAGGCAGTCAGGCAGAGTGGTTAGGGATGATCAGGCAGGCGGGTGAGTGGTTAGGGGCTATCAGGCAGGCAGGTGAGGGGTTAGGGGCGATGAGGCAGGCAGTCAGGCCGGCGAGTGGTTAGGAGCCAGTGGTCCTGGATTACAAAAGGGATGTCCAATTGCCGGTTTAGGTGGGATATGGCCTACACCAGCAGTCAGACATCCCCTGAGGGGTCCCGGATTGTGAGAGGGTGCAGGCTGGCTGAGGGACCTCCCCCATGCACGAATTTCGTGCACTGGGCCTCTAGTATTTGAATAAGATGAGGACTTTATGATCAAATATAATTTTTACATTACTTTTAACATTTGAGTTAATAAGGTGTTGGTTTTTTGGGAAGAGGGCATATTAATTAATGATTCAGTTCCATATTCTGATGATTTCTGCTATCAAAATAATTTGTTGCTACCAGAATTGACTTTTTATATGAAATATATGAAGTTCTAAATTCCTGCTTTTGGTCTCATACCTTTATGATGCTTAATATTTTGACTTTTACCTAACAAATCAGATTATCATGCCTCATCAAATACTGTGATAAAGGCATGTGGTAATTTAGTTGACATTCAGAAGTTGTATAATACATTCTAGTTTGCATGGATTTCTAAGAACAAGATTTTGGGGACAACCAAGGGAGGCTTATTAATGGATTATGTAAGATGTATTTCTTTTCTGTGAGCTTGACCAAAGTCCCTTCAAACCTAAAACTATTCTTGGGAACTGAGAGTCCCAAATGGTTAAAACTTGATATAGATTTTTGACCTAACTTTTGGGTAAAATGTATCACCCCTAAACTTCTGAGGCAGATTCTTCAAGGCCAGTATCTGATTAGGTTACTGAGAAACATCTTATCTTTGGGAACCAGGCAAGAAAGAGCAGATGTCCTTGAGAATGTATGTGTGTATGTGTGTATGCATGTGGGGGTGGGGGTTGGGTGGGAGGTGTAGACAGAAAAGGAGGCAGGGCAGTTGGGAACGGTGCTCCTTGCAGGGGAGAGCAAGGCAGCTGGAAGAAGTTGTCTTTGTTTAATAAAAAATCAGGAATTAAAAATTGAAGAGAGGGATGACCGCTGCAACATTTATTCATCTGTAGCAATTCACTGTTTGCAAAAGGACACTTTTCTCCTCCAGTCTTTAATGGCTAAGCAGACACAGGAAAGCTGCCTAGGGTTGTTCAACAAGTCTGCCTGAGGAAAAAGAAGGAACACTGAGCTGCTAAATCAAACTTTTTGAACAGTTTTGGGCTAGATCTTTTTTCCCCCAGAGATATATACTAGTGTGTATGTGTGTGTGTGTGTGTATCCAAATATATAGATATATACATATATAGTATATGTAATATATCTATATATTTATATTGCATATACTATACTAGTATATGTTTATATTATATATGTTATGTGTAATATAGCTATATATTTACATTACATATAAAATATATGTTTATTTTATATAAGTTGACCATTAAGCAGGAAGAACTCCATGCACTTAGGAACACTGTCAGACTATGGATATACTTATAACTGAATGTATGAAGGAGAAATTTTGTGTTAATGTGATGTTTGCCTCCGGGGTCATAGAACAACTTCAAAGCACAATGCAGAAGAAATTTTGATTTTGG